CAAAAATGCAGGAAGAGGCAAATTTTCCCAATGAGCTTGTTGTTTGTTGTTGTTCACTCCCAGTGAACATAAAAGAAGAACATATTAAAACACTAAAAAACACTATAAATGCTGTATGTTACTGACATGGTGGTTTCCTCATTTTTATGGTGGTGTGATTAGTCTGTTGTGTAATGCCATTTATATCCCACTAAACACAATGATGTCCAAAAGACGTCTTTTCAACGTCTCTGTCACAAAAGTCGGACGTTGAAAAGACGTCCACTGAGGAGCCAGAATAAAAGTTTTATGACGTCTTTTTTGACGTGTTCTGGACGTCTGATATAGACGTTCATCGAACCTTCGAATAAGTTTAAAAACTAGTTCAAATGTGGCCTTTGTGGACATGTTTTCAACATAATTTATTGTCTCATTTAGACAATTTAAACTGTTTCTGGACCAAATAGACACTCTAAGTATGCATTAAATTAAAACTCATGTTTATATCAATGTAATTTCCTTACATTGTTTGGATGAGGCTTAGAAGTTATTTGTTTCATTTTAAATCACCATTGTGGTGATCAGTATTTGCTTTAGTTGGGCTCTTGGTCCCAGTTCTTCTTACTTTAGCTTTTCTTTGGCTGTTGTAACTGTGTATTTGAAAAAATATAACGTTTATGGCAGAGAAAGCCAAGAACAAGTATGATCGGCTGTCATCAGCTTCTAGTTGATGATGACAAAATCAAACAAAGCAAGCATTTATTGTTGTGTTTAGACTTTTGTCTAACCATCAATCTTGTGGAACTGCATAGTTTGGGCTATAAGAACTAAAATGATCACTTATTTGAAGGTAAATAAAAGCATGTTTACACAATTTTTTGCGAAAATGTACCATATAGTCACACACAGACATGAAGATTTTGCATATGATTCACAACAATGGTGACAACAAAAAAGCTTCATGCTGCAATGGTTTCATAGTCCAAAACATCCTTGATTCCCAAGCTTTTTTGTTTTGGTTGTCACCATTGTTGAGAATCATATCCAAAATCTTTATGTTTGTGTGTGACTATATGATATGTTTTTTATTCTCCTTCAAATAAGTGATCATTTTTATGCAATGCCCCAAACAAAGCAGTTCCACAAGATTGATGATTATAATTGGTAAACAAAAGTATAAACACAATGTTAAATAATCACTTTGGGGCTGACAATATCATCAATATGGAGCTGATGACAGCTGATTTGACTTTTTCTTAGGTTTCTCTGCCACAACAATGGTGTTAAACAAACACACAGTTACAACAGCCAAAGAAAACCTAAAGTAAGAAATACTGGGACCAGGAGCCCAACTAAAGCAAATACTGATCACCACAATGGTGATTTAAAATGAAACAAATAACTTTTAAGCCTCATCTAAACAATGTAAGGAAATTGCATTGAAATAAACATGAGTTTTAATTTAATGCATCCTTAGAGTGTTTATTTGGTCCAGAAACAGTTTAAATTGTCTAAATGAGACCATGAATTATGTTGAAAACATGTCCACAATGGCCACATTTGAACTAGTTTTTAAACTTGTTTGAAGGTTCGATGAAAGTCTATATCAGACTTCCAGAACAAATCAAAAAAGACAGCCCTTTCTCATCCTTTAGCGTCACATAGAACGCTATAAGAGAAAACGGCGCTATACTACACACATGGCACCCTTTATCGTTAACATTCACACGAACCCAAGGTGTCATAAATCCTTAAGTGTAATATGAGACTACCCTACCCTACCCCACACCTAAACCTAACCATCACAGGGCGTGTTATATTAACGATAACGGGTGCCATGTGTGTAGTATAGCACCGTTTTGTCATATAGCGTTCTATATGACGCTAAAGGATGAGAATGCGTTGAAAAAGACAACGTCCGACATTTGTGACCAAGACGTTGAAAAGACGTCCTTTGGACATCATTTTGCTCACTGGGATGTAATGACATTTGAACACATTTGTGGCATGAGGTACCGAATCCTTCATCTAAGCATAGTTCAAGCAACTGAAATCCTGTTCCAAGTGCCATCTGCCCACAAACACCAGTAGAGCATGATGAATAGTGTGGAAATGATGTAGGGCCCAGTGGACAGGAACGCTCGATAACGGACCACCTCATTTGGATTACAGCACTTTTGAGTACCAGTGCAGTTGCCAGGACAGAAGCAAACAAACAGTGTGGTTTGAAAACACAGAAAAGGCCAACTAGACAGTTATGAAACAAGATCTTCCCAGCCACACCACATCAGACGACTGTGTGTTTCAAGCATTTCATTGGCCTTTAATAGTGAATCATTCATCACGATGTGAGGCAAACAAGTGTGGTGATATGATAAATGATGATTCATGCTAGCATTTAAAGCAGTCTGTGATAACAATGCCCTTATCAGGTCATATTCCACCATCAGTCTCGCACAAGCACAACAGCAGTTCTCCAGAGCATCAACACCTCAACACATCTGTTCCGTCTCTTTCCCCAGCACAACCAAGCTGTAGAGGTGGGAAGCCTATGGTGAAACGGACAGGTTTGTTTTGTAAAAAGGCAGGACAGAAGCTTGGCCTGTGGCCTTAAAGAGGATTGAGATAAATAAACGGATTAGAAAATCAAGCACTGATGTAGCGAATGGATTCATGTCCGCTTAACACTCCAGCCCAGTCCAAACACAGGATTTGTTTGGCAGGCTTACAGCACTCGCTGTACTGAAAATTAGAACATGGTGAGCTACATTTTCTGGGTGTTGATAAATATTTGATTGGGTTGTTGGGTTGGCTGTCTCCACTATTCCTAACCCTACTTTCCAAGAACACACTACCATCATCCTACAGTAGTAACCCCTCATATAGCTACCACTCAGAACAGCAAAGTAACTGCCCAGCAAGCATCCAGGACACCCTACCAACTGCCTTCCATCCAAACAGTAACCCATAGTAACCACTGTACATGAAGCCGTTGTAAATTTTAAACTAACCTTCAAACAGTGCTAAACATCTGGAGGCTTAATTAACCCAAAATTCACAGTACAAACCAAACTGATCTCTTAAAAAATCAAGTGTTTTACGAGTTTATGCGATTTTGTATGAATTTGTACGATGTGAGTTGCGTGGAAATGTACGTTTAAAAAGTAAGCATGAAGGTTCACCCCAACCCATAAACATAACCATCAGGTGGGCGTAAAAGGATTATACAAAAACCTATGAATGTGACGATACAAATTTATACGAATTATAGTTACAAACAGCCATGATAGCAGTGTTGTAGTCGAGACCACCTCACTCGAGTCCGAGTCGACACCGAGACCAGAGAGAGTCGAGTCCGAGTCCATAGAGAGTCGAGTCCGTGTCGAGTCCAAGACCAGAGACGATCGAGTCCGAGTCGAGACCGAGACCAGTGAGGGTTGATTTCCTAATTTACTTTTATTTACTTAGAGAAATCCTTTTTTTTTTTTTTTTTACTGAATTTACTTAGAGTTTAAAAAATATGATCAGTTTAGGGTAAAAAGGCCACATAGTAGGTGGTGTTAAAAGTAATTTTATTACAATTTGTCATGCGCAGTTGCGCACTAGAAAATCACCAATCACTGGGCGTGTCAATCAATTTAAAGAAATATTTTATTCACATACATTAATAATCATGAAAAATATTTTTAATTGAACCTGAGTGAACTCGGGAATAATTCAGAGTCCTAAAAAAAAAATGTTCGAGTACGAGTCAATTCCGAGTCCAAATGGACACGAGTCCATGACAAGACCAAGACCATTAAAATATGGTCTCGAGACCGAGTCCGAGTCTCGAGTACTACAACACTGCATGATAGTGAGTACAAACTATCCTCTTAAAACTTTATTTTTAGTGATTAACTTGACAGTGTCAATAAGTTGCAATGGTGCAATGAAAGGTTGTCTATTACAGTTTACGGTAAGATTGACACTGATTTGGTAACAGTGAAAGACAAACCACAAATACATTTTTTTTTTTACTTGAATTTATTTATTCACCATCTTCATATCATAATTAATCCAAAAAAAATTTTTTACACAAGCACATATTTAAATCTACAGCATGGCAGGCCTTCTCTGTTTCACTCCATCTGGCCAGCCATACTATCAACCCACCTACAAAGCAAGCAAGCTACACAACACAAAACTAGAGCACACCCATTACAATGAGCAATGCATCCACATTGTTCATTTGCAGTCGTGTCTTTGATTATAATGGGAGTGCTCTAAATTTATTGTTATGCATCAGTCATTTGCAATGTAGCTGAGGTGTATGCTATGAAACACCAACACTGTAAAAAACAAAAAAACATGGGGAATCCTTCAAAATACATTCAACCAAAGACACTGCAGTCAGAGAATAGAGTGTATTTCAGGGTCAAACAGGATATCGTAATATATTTTGCAAGATATTTTCTTGTTGATATACTGGCATCTTTGTTTTTGAATTTTGGCAAAATTGCTCAAAATGGAAAATTGGGTAACACCTTATTTTACAGTGTCCCTGCTACATATTACATGTACTTATTATATAAATATCAGTAAATGATGCATAATTACATGCAAATAACTGTAAACCAAACCCTATTCATAACCATAACCCAATAGTTAAGTACATATTGTTTGATATCAATATTGGTATAATTACACAATAACAAGGACACTTTAAAATAAAGTGTAACCAAAAATGCTGATGACATTCCAACCCTTAATTTTTTTTTTCTTCCATATAACACAAAATGAGACATTATACGAAATGTCCAAGCTGCTCTTTTCCATATATGACAATTTATATTTCAAAAAGTAAAAAGCACCATAAAAATTAGTCCATATGTCCATATGTGCTTTCTGATGTCATACAGTATGGCAATTTTGGGCGAGCAACACATTTAATATTAATCTACATCATTGATATGTGTCATGTGACCAATATCGACCCCAACGGTTTACATCAAGCTATTCAATATTGACTTTTTCAAAAATTTTTGATGTGACCTTATCACCATTCAGAGGCTTACTAATTGGTTCAATTGATAAAATGCATGTTTTGTTACATAGATTCAGCTTTCCATGTCTTCTGCATCCAAAGCACGGCTCTGGTTCTCTTGGGATACTTTTTACAAGTTCATTCCTAGACATTCCAAGAGGGTCTGAAGTTTGAAATGCAGATAGATGAGCATAACAGGCACTTTGCTTCCCTCACTGAAGAATTTGGCATCCCTTCAGTTTGGCTCCAAGAAACAGAGGCTTACGCTCACATGGATATAGAAGACGGACCCATGCATGCATGATTTATCGACTTCCGCGATTACTCACATGCTTGGATAACATTAGATGATGCCAATTTTGAAAAATCTGTTTGAAATATCCAACAGGCTTGTTTTGCTTTGGCAGACAACCTCAGGCAAATAAGATCGCGGCCTTTGATCCCTTGTGGCGATAAAGCATTTCCTTTTGGCAAAGATTCATCCACCGCTACCTCACCTTTAACACATTTATCTCAGCCAGTTTCACTCAAAAGGCAAATTGGTCTGAGTTTTGCAAAAAAATGCCAGCAATTCTTCTTCTTAGTTGACTTAACACTAAACCGGGACCTAAATGTTTCTCTTACTCTCCACAAAGCACACACAAGCACAAAATATACACCATGTGCACATATAGCAGACACCTCAAAACAAAGTCATTACAAATCTCAACAGGCATTTACCAATATCTACAACAATTATAAATTAAAATTGTGCAAATCGCCCCACATTGTATATTCTGCAGTAATCGTTGTCATGATCATCATGTGTTTGATGATCGAAAGAAAATAAAAATGTGCATCATTATGCACACAAATGCCACAATATGGGGCATCAGCTGCTCATTGTCATTAAAGTATGTCATTATACGCCATTATCGGCACTAAGTAGAATGGCAAAAAAGTCCAATTTCTTCTCAAATATCTAGCGGAAACCCATTCATTAGCATTATAATTGCGCTTAAATGCAGTTTCTCGACAACTACCATATACTAAAATGTTTGGAATAAAAATGTATTTTGTCAGAGAACACAGCTTCAATGGTCGTCAATGAGGAAAAAAGACTTTTTCCTTCATGATTATGTAGTTACAGGATCTAACAGCAGGAGCAAACTGCTGATATTAACCAGACAAAACTCGACCCCATGGTTCAGACAGAGCGTCCCATCCCAAACTCAAGGTATCGGTGGAATCAATGTTGTTATGTCAACGAAAAAACAGTTTTAGTGGCGTTAATGTCACTGAAATTACTCACTTAACCTTCGCCGCAACCTCATTTCAGTGTCTTGCAGTGGCATATCCTTGATCTGAGCATTAAAGGATCCTCCGAGTGAGGAATCATTTTGATCGATGTCTTAAGTTGGAATTTGTTCTACATTTTGTCTTTGCTTTCCCACATCCCGAAGTTCAACGGCAAATGATTTGAATGCCTATTGGGAGTTGAGAAGTATCTGAGAGAAGAAGCAGTTCCTAACTAACACTGACTCTTGTAGATGTCTTGTGGACTGTCATCTCCTCTGACCACTGACACAAGGGAATCCAATCTGGCATAATACTCCATTAAGGCATTGACCCAGACCCTTTGAAGTCTTCTTCATACAGTATGGCTCTAGTTTGCATGCTTGAGTATACCAGGCATGTTTTCTTGAAGGGCGCACATCATTAATAGTGATTAATAGTGGCACATTCATCTAATGTGTACATGACGTCCAGTTCACTATACAGAATCTGCTTTAAGCAACTTTCATCTCTGAAGATTGAGTCAGTGACTGATGGATTTGTACTTCACTTACTTTGGTCAATCTTTAGCCGCGTTTCCACTGTCTGGCCAAAGTGTTCTCATTACTTAACTGTTCCATTCTATGGTTTCATTTTCCACCGTGGGGCTGATGACAGAACTCTTTGGAAAATAATATAAACACGTCCGTCGCTACCTTGGTAATACAAGTGTTTACGGACGGTCTGAGATTTAAAGGAGTAGTTCACTTTAAAAAAAAAACTTTTGCTGATAATTTACTCGCCCCCATGTCATCCAAGATGTTCTTCAGTCAAAAAGAAATTAAGGTTTTTGATGAAAACATTCCAGGATTTTCTCCATATAATGGACTTCATTGGGAACCAAACGGTTCAAGGTCCAAATGAGAGTTTTATTGCAGCTTCAAGGGGCTTTAAACGACACCAGATGATGAATAAGGGTCTTATCTAGCGAAATGATCAGTCATTTCAAAAATGACTCGAAAAAAGATTTGTTCATTTTCATGAACGCGCGAGTCACGAACGCACATCACAGAAAAGAGCAAGGCAAGCAATTGTGATTATAAAACTTAAACTTTTTAAATTTATTTTGTAAATGACCGATCGTTTTGCTAGATAAGACCCTTATTCATCGTCTGGTGTCAGTGTTGTAGTACTCGAGACTCGGACTCGTCTCGGACTCGAGACCATATTTTAATGGTCTTGGTCTTGTCATGGACTCGTGTCCATTTGGACTCGGAATTGACTCGTACTCGAACATTTTTTTTTTTAGGACTCGGAATAATTCCCGAGTCCATTTGAGTTCAATTAAAAATATTTTTCATGATTATTAATGCATGTTAATAAAATATTTCTTTAAATTGATTGGCACGCCCAGTGATTGTTGATTTTCTAGTGCGCGACTGCGCATGACAAATTGTAATAAAATTACTTTTAACACCACCTACTATGTGGCCTTTTTACCCTAAACTGATCATATTTTTTAAACTCCAAGTAAATTCAGTAAAAAAAAAAAAGGATTTCTCTAAGTAAATAAAAGTAAATTAGGTAATCAACCCTCACTGGTCTCGGTCTCGACTCGGACTCGACTCTCTATGGACTCGGTCTTGACTCGGACTCGACTCTCTCTGGTCTCGGTGTCGACTCGGACTCGAGTGAGGTGGTCTCGACTACAACACTGTCTGGTGTTGTTTAAAACCCTTTGAACTGTTTGCAGTTTGTACTGAAACTCTCATTTGGACCTTAACCCGTTGGTTCCCAATGAAGTCCATTATACGGAAAAAATCCTGCATGTTTTCATCAAAAACCATAATTTCTTTTCGACCGAAGAAAGAAAGACATGGACATCTTGGATGACATGGGGAAGAGTAAATAATCAGCAAAAGTTTTTTTAAAAGTGAACTACTCCTTTAAATAGCAACAACATTATGGAGGATGAACAGATATTTCTTTTAATTTTATGATCAACTTGCATTTACTTTGCTCAAATGGCACGTTTGTCAAGCGACAGAGAAACTAGCAGCCAAACAAGTGACCAATCCTGAGTGGCGACATCACTACATGCATTCTAGCCATCGTGCTTGTAATCATGCCGTGTTGAACCAAGCTCAAGTGAGATATAACTGGAACTGTTCCTTAACATTCTTAAATTTTTGTTGGCCCAACGGTGGAAAAGCGGCTTTTCTGTTTTTGGTTTGATATTGGGTTCTATGACCTACAGAAGAAGGCACATGGGCAATATGGGGCTTGCTCAGTCTATATCTATACCTTGTCTTGGCAATTTATTTCTAACAAATTCAAAGATGGTTTTCATGAAACTAAACACAAACAGCTTTACTTGTTACGTGTACCCAAAAGCATCAATTGATTCCAAAATATACAGTATGCAAACAAAAATGCTGGTGTGCTGCTTTCACCACAAGGCTTTTTCACTAACTTAACCAGCAGAATGTCATTGACCAATCAGGTGGACAGCATGGAAAATTGCTTGCGTGGAAATTTGTGTAGTGTTCCTTCGGTTCAGTACGAACTCGCACACTCTGTAACGCATTAACCGGTTTGCTTACATTTTCGATGAGTTCAGTTAAGTGTATCTGTCCACACAGAGACGCTGGTTGTAGATGTTTGAACCGTTGCTGGTTCCATTTGGACCATGCAGTGCAGATGGGTTTTTTCCTAATAAATCATGAACATCACAGACAGCTATATTGTATAACACTAGAGTTAAGACTCTGTTTTCATCAAAGGGTTTGTTGGCATGTACATTTGTGCAAATCTTTCTTCTGCTCGCCCATGTAACATGAGTTTTCTGCTGAGCTTCAGAGAGGGCAGCGCTCTCCCAAACTCACACGGTTGCCAGGGACACACACATACATACACACACACCTCTCGCTCCAGCCAGGGCTAAGGTTTCAGGGCCCTCAGCCAGAAGAAGTAAGAGTGGTTGGGCTAACCTGGAGTCTACTTCATCTCACAGGTTTCTCTCAGCATTGCCCTGTGGAACACTACAATACTTTCCAGTGTCCACCACCACAATTTCCTCTGTTATTGAACTGCAGGTGGAGCCATCCTGGGGTGTGGAGGTGAACTGCAGGCATCCCTGCCCAGTACCCATACCATTTTGGTTGTTGGACACCAACATCTGCTTCTCTTCTGGGCTCCCAAGCCGGGAGGTAGTGGTAGCGATATCAGGCAGCTGAGGGAGGTTGGAGGAATGGACAAGGATGCTGCCACTTTTCATCTGAAGGGTCTGGCTGTAAGTGTGGCGGTACTCCTCCTCGATGTCCCTCCCAAGCTTCCAGCGTCTCCATTTCTTCAGAATCTCCGACTGAACCTGACCAATCAAGAAGATGCACAGAATGGAAAGGTTTTGTGAATCCACAACTACCTTTGTAAGGCTGCATACATTAAAGAAAAGAGTTGAACTCACCTCCTTGTTGACGAAGCAATATAAGATTGCTACCAGCAGCCCCTGTGAACATGTCAGAGCATGAATAAGCAAATCTTTTAACGTCACCATGAAGTCAAAACCACAACCATCCAATCAATTTCCCATGTACAAAACAATTTTTTCTTGTTTGAGAAATGTTTCACTTCAAAAGACTAGGGGCCTCATGTATAAAACTTTGCGTAGATTTCATCCTTAAAGTGTGCGTACGCACATAAGGCAGAATTTGCGTACGCACAAAAGTTTTCAGATTTATAAAACCGTTCGTACGCCAGAACCTGCGCAGAATTCACTTTATAAATCCCAGTCAGCGGAAGATTATGCGCACGTGCGTCTCCTCCCCGAAATAACCATATATGGAGATTACAACGCCTAGTTTAAATATGCATATCCTCATCTGCATATCATTTGCATATGATTATTCATCCACGTGATACCAAGTTTAACGGTACAAGACGTTAGAAAAATATGAAATGCGGATGTGCCGTCACATTATTACAAACATTTTGTTTTAATGGCCTATATCCTTGCCTTGTTTTTGAATGATTAAATCAAATAGTGTTAAATACATTTCAGAGAAAGTTTTTCTCAATCTTTTCCACTGGCCAAATAGTATTTTTAATTGATTTATATTTTAATGGAAAGAGATAGACATGGTTGTGCATTTTTTGCACGAAACAGTTCTCTCAGACAATCTCTAGTTAAAACATTAAAACACAGCATGCCAGAAGAAAAGTGTTCAAAAGCAATGCATCCACAACAAATAGGTCTATTTCTATTCATTGAATATATATATATATATATTGTAACTTCTCAGTAATGATTTCATGTAGTTTAAGAGTTTAACTCATATTTAAAATATTTTATCTTATGAAAAAAAATATATTTTTCATATTTTAATGGCATATTTAATCTAAATGTTTATATCTTAAGTAAAACATAGTTTAAACCATTCTCTTATTTATTTAAACTGTTATTGTGAATATGGACTGTATTTATGATTTGGACTCATAATGAAGATTTACGGTTTTACTCCATCTGCCGTTAGATTATAGGCTATATGTGCGTCAGTTTCACCAAACGGCCCAACGCGGGTGCTGGCGCGGTCATTTAAGAAGGGATGGATGTTTGCTTCAAGTGATGATAGGTTTGTGAAATTATATTTGTATTATCTTTCTGTAGATGTATAATTTTCTTTAGACTCTCTGTCTAATAGTAAGCAAAAAGACATTTGACTCCAGCTCACCATCGGTGTCGCCAAAACCCATACTCTTCTAAAAGAGTGCGTACACACGGTCAAGAGCATCCTTACGGTGCGCACTTATTTACACCGAGTTTATTTTTTATAAATCCCGATGTGCGCGTGGAAAAATGCGTACGCATATTTCTATGCCCATTTTGTGCGTACGCAACGTTTATACATGAGGCCCTAGGACTTTTGTTTCATGCCGACTTTGACACACCGACAACAAGGAGGTATGGTATACTGTAAATGCACAAGGGGTGTCGCTTAACTACCATAGTATTTTACCATTTTGAAGAATACACAGCAAAATCCCCAGTGTTTAATGAACACTTTAAAGTTAATTAATCAAGGTAAATTAATGATTATGTTAAAACACAACCAACACCATCAGATCCCCTTTTCTATTTGTTCATCTGGCTGTTATAAGTCACATATAGCAGCCAAACAAAATCTAAAGTTAATGATTTAAGGGTCAAGAGCCCAGATAAACCAAACACCGATCACCATAATGGTGACTTAAAAATTACGGTTTTCTCCTTCAAAGATTCTGCTTGTTAAAGGGATACTCCACTTTTTTTTTTTGGAAATAGGCTCATTTTACAACTCCCCCAGAGTTAAACAGTTGAGTTTCACCGTATTCAGACGATTTTCTGATATTTAGAAGAACATCAGTAACCAGACAGTTTCTGGTCCCATTGACTTCCATAGTAGGAATAAAATATACTATGGAAGTCAATGAGAGCAGAAACTGTCTGGTTACTGATATTCTTCTAAATATCAGAAAATCGGCTAAATGGATTCGAAAACGGTAAAACTCAACTGTTTAACTCTGGGGGAGTTGTAAAAGTAGCCTATTTCCAAAAAAAGTGGAGTATCACATGTGCTAAACATGAAAATATGAACGAGGCCTAGGGTTCATATTCAAAAGCCATTAAGCATGAAGTGCTTATCCATCTGCAGATGGATAAATAACAGTCAAGCTTTATGTCCTCTCTCTCTCCATCTCTCTCTTTATCTTAATCTTTACACATGTGAAAAGTCTCATCAGGACATTTCCTTCAGGCAGATGA